TATTGACTCAAATTTAAACGTGGAACTTCACTTTTTGTGTGTGGCTGATTTGAATCAAATCTTAATTTTATGTCATCCATAACCTAAATGAGATCAATTCTTTGATGATAACAAATTATCTTAGTAATAAGAGCCTTTAATATGTTCATAGCCTTACTCAGGTCCTTTTCATTGGTTCAATGGGTAATTTTTATTCATTTGCATATTAGACTGTGCCTATATATGTACATTTTATTGGTCAGATTATAACAATCTGCATATTTATGAGAAAACCATAGAAATTATCTTATTTAACACCCATTATTTTTTCTCCAAAATCCACAAACAACATTAAATTGTAACTTTCCCCCTTCCCATTCATCTTTTTTTAAAGTTTATTTTAATTGTTGATACTATTACAAATGTCCCCTTGCCTTTGTCCACCTCCACCCAGCCCTCGACACCACCCATCGCTCTATGTTTACGGATTATGCTCTCTTTTGTCCAATCCCCACTCCCCTACTTAAATTGTAACTTTTCAATGAGTTATTTCAACTTTATAAATATAGAGGTTTTTTTGCACAGAAACCTGTCTTTTCAAATGACTTAGATCAGGTTGATTGGTACTCATTCATTATGATGTTTCAAAAAAGAAAATTGGCTATAAAAATGGTACAGCCAATAACTTAAGCATGGAATTATGTACAGTGCCTTCTGTGACCTAGCCCTGAAAGTCTCACTCCCTCACTACCAATACATTGCATCCGGTTTCAAGGGGAGAAACCGCAGACCCCATCTCTCAGTATCAAAGCTCTGTTGCAAGAAGCTGTCATTCTGGCCATTTTGAAAATATCACCTGACAAAGTAAGTCATTTAGAGCATTTGGTTTGATGAAATGCTGTCCTTGAGTAAGAAATTAGTTGAAAAACCTTGAGCATGTGGTGCTTCTACTTATTGGCTGAAATGTATAAATGATACACACTTGAAAGAGTAGATCACATTCATTTATTCACTGGTATAATCAGGCATCTACTGGTGACCCAAACACCCCATCTCCCATCCTCCATTTATGGCTCCTAGTCTACAAAAATCAAACAGCATTGAAAGATGGGCCCCACTCATAACAGAAATGAAAAGTCATCTTGAAAACACCACACAGGGGTTTCATGTTTTGTTTTCTTATCTATCCTTCCTTTGAATCAAAGCCCAGCCTGGTAGGGTTTCACAGTGGCTTTCTTTAGGTTAAATTGCTGGAGCGGTGTCTCTTGCTAATGAGATTGGGCAAGAGAAACGGTAACCGGCATTCCTCAGAATGGGGCTCATGTATTTAAAAACATAGCTAAGGGTTAAACAGACGTTTAAAACAGAAGAGCCTTTTTGTGCTTGTTGTTGTTCTTGCTATTATTTTAAACATGAAGCTTCATGTTCCCAAACTACTTATGCCCTTTCATAAGAAAGGGCAGTCCTCCTTGAAATTCTCCCACATGAGCCAGAAAAGACATTACTGAATGTCGCCCTCTCACCTGAGTGAGAAGTAGAGTTTCTCTCTGTTCGCTGGTGCTAGTTTTGCCCCCAAGAGAAATATTCTCTTATCTCTGGTTTGGCTTTCTTTGCCTTGCTTTCTATTCTTTCATGGATTAAACAATACCAGGGAGACATCAGTTACAACTGCATGTGGTTAACTAGAGTGCCACCCAGCTTTACAAGGCACTCTGGTCTGACCACATCACTCCTCTAAATGCTTCTCAATTACCTACAATCGCCATCAACTAAAACCCATTTGCACACTTTCGTGCCTTCACCCCTTCTGCAGGAGGGTCCTGTTACAGGAGGGACCATGGGTGTTTTATCAAGGGGACAGTCCTTATGATATAAACTGTTGTCTACAGGAGGGAAGCCAAAGAGACTTCACGTAAGGCCCATGGCATTGACTTTTGTCTGTTATGAATATCACCAGTGTGGTGTGAATATCCGAATCTAGATGGCATCCCAGGAGTTACGCTTTGGAATAAGAGCTGGTTTGGTTTGATATCAAGAATAGGGAGCTTGGAACAGACTGTCGAATCTCAGAGGGAAGGCAGGGGTGGGTGGGAAGGGATCAACCAAAGAACTATATGCATAACCCATGGACACAGACAATAGGTTGGTGAGGGTCTGGGATGGGGAGCAGGGGGGAATTCAAAGGAGTCACAATATATATATAAATATATATTTTATATATATTTTTTTTTTTAATTGTTTTTTTAATATATTTTATTGATTTTTTACAGAGAGGAAGGGAGAGAGATAGAGAGTTAGAAACATCGATGGAGAAACATCTCAGGCCGATGCTGTATCCACAGAGCCAAACCGGTTAGGGCTCAATAAATATATATTTTTTAATTGTTTTTTTAATATATTTTATTGATTTTTTACAGAGAGGAAGGGAGAGAGATAGAGAGTTAGAAACATCGATGAGAGAGAAACATCGATCAGCTGCCTCCTGCACATCTCCCACTGGGGATGTGCCCGCAACCCAGGTACATGCCCTTGACCGGAATCGAACCTGGGACCCTTCAGTCCGCAGTCCGACGCTCTATCCACTGAGCCAAACCGGTTTCAGCTTCAATAAATATATTTTTAAAGAATTTTTTAAAATGCATAAAAATGAAAAATAATAGGGAACTTGGAAAACACAGTTTTCTAAGAAGTATACTTTTTTGTAACTCTTAGCATTTCCAATCATCAGGTTAGACTAGATTGCAACTAGCTTAACTATTTAATCAGTAATTCCTCTAAGTATTTCTCCTTGTGTCCAGATGCTATTAGGGATACAACCAGAAGTTGTAAACCAACTAGAAGTTTTGATTTATTCATAAAAAATGTATGATGTATCCATTTCTGGATATCAAAGAGCACCAATGCTCTTGAGAATTTCACTTCAGTTTCCACTGTCTGACTCTAGGCATACATTCGGAAGCTTTTATTGGTGTCTTCTTTGAGGATTAAAGAAAAGGTGTACATGCACCTCAACCTGGACTTTACATAAAAATCAACCCAAAATGGGTCATGGGGTTCAATGTAAGATGATACAATTTTTGGGGAAAAAAGTTAAGAGAAAATCTTTGGGAGCTAGGGCTACATAAAGTTTTTAGACTTGACAACAAAAGCACAATAAGAAGAAAAAGTAATAAATTTGGCCCTGGCCAGGTAGCTCAGTTGATTAGAGCATCATCCCAATATGCCAAAGTTGCGGGTTCGATCCCCAGTCAGGGCACATACAAAAATAACCAATGAATGCATAAATAAGTGGAACAACAAACTAATGTTTCTCTCTTTCTCAAATCAATAAAAAATTTTAAAAGAACTGATAAATTGGAGCTCATCAAAATTAACTTTTGCTCTGCAAAAGACCGTGTGAGGGAGAGATAAAAATCAAGCTACCTTATTGGGAGAAAACCTTTACAAACCACATATCCAACAAAGGCCTTGTATCTAGAATATGTAACGAACTCTCAACACTCAACAGCAATAACAAGAACAGTCCAATCCGAGAATGAGCAAACATGAATAGGCATTTTGCAGCAAAGGATGTACCGGTGGTAACATAAGTCCATGAAAACACGTTCAACATCACCAGCCAGTAGAGAAACGCAAAGGAAAACCACGAGCTATCACTACATGCCTATCAGGGTGAAAATAAACTTCAGTGCCCACACCACATGCTGGTGAGAATGCAGAGAAGCGAGATTGCTCAGACCCTGGGAATCAAAGTGGTGCAGCCGCTCTGGAAGAGAGCTTGGCAGTTTCTTTCAAAACTCAACATGCACTTACCGTGTAATTCAGCAACTGTAGCCTTGGGCATTGATCCCAGGGAAGTGAAAACTGATGTTCACACGAAAACCTGTACATGAATGTTCAGAGAAGCTTTATGGGTGATAGGCCCAGCCTGGAAACAACCCAAATGGCCTTCAAAAGGTGAGTGGTTGAACAAGCTAGGACACCTCCACACCAGGCATGCTATGCTATGTAGCAATAAAACTGTTCATACAGGCAGAACCGGGGTTCCATCTTAAGGGAACTATGCGGAGTTCGAAAAACCAATCTCAAAATGCTAACCTGTGTGATCCTATTCACACAACCTTCTTAAAATAACAAAAATGAGCCCTGGCCGGTTTTACTCAGTGGTTAGAGTGTCGGCCCATGGACCAAAGGGTCATGGGTTCAATTCCTCAAGGGCACATACCTCAGTTTCGGGTTCATTTCCCACCTCTCAGTGGGGGTGCATACGGGAGGCAACCAGTTGATGTGTCTCTCTCACATTGATGTTTCTCTCTCTCTCCCCTCCTCCTCCCTCCCTTCCACTCTCTCTGAGAATCAATGGAAAAGAATATCCTCAGGTGAGGATTAAACCAAAAGAAAACACTACAGAGATAGAGAAGATTTTAATGGTTGACGAGGCTAGGAAGGGAGAGGGGTATAGAGGTGGTTATAAGGGTTAAAACAGGTCTTTGGAGATAGAATAGTTTTGTATTTTGATCTGTGATGATGGTTACAAGAATCTACTAGTATACATGTGATAAAATTGCAAGGTATATACAAGTGCCTGCACACACACACTCACACGAGTGTATGAGTACCCATAAACCTTGTAAACTTTGAATAAGCTCCCTAGATTGTGTCATTGGGATTTTCCTGGTTGTGCTACTGTACCATAGTTTTATAGGATGGTACCACTGAGGAAAACTGGGTGAAGGGTACATGCACACTCCCCTACCATTTTCCTGCAACTCTCTGTGACTATATAATTACTTGAAGAATAAAACATTATAAAAAGTCATGTGCTGCATTCAATTTAAGGTCTAACCCTTTATCGTTAAGGGGCAGGCGTTTATTTCTGCTAAAACCGAGGAATAAAAGAGACTAGCAGCAAACAATATAAGAAGCGAGGAACATGGATAGGAGTGTAGTTGAAATGACTGGTAATTCATTTAGAAACTCATGGAGAGTCGATATGTGTGATGAGTACTGAGTTTGCTTACCTGTGTTTTCATGAATGCAGTTGTATGAGAATGAGGAGAACAGAGGGAAATGTGACCAAAACGCATTGGGAAGCTGAGGTCCGGGGCCCCCGATTCCTGCTGGCTCGGTAGCTGCCATTAGCTTCTTCCAGACCTAAGCCCAGAAAAGACAGTAAAGTGATTAAAAATATGCCAACAGGAATAAATGTACTTGCTCTCCACATAGATTTAATCATATTTTAAAATGTCCCATTTTATATTATCTTTTTTGGAAATCACTTAGGCCTCTAATCAGATGATTGTTGGAAAAAGAAGAGCGGTTTGGGAACCCAATTTTGAGATGTGTACTCTTACTCTTTCACACAAATAGATAAGCAAATTTCAAAACTTTTTTCCCCCAACACAAATAGATAAGCAAGTTTTAAAATTATTTTTTCACTCAAATAGATAAGCAAAATTGGAAACTTTTCTCCACACAAATAGATAAGCAAGTTTTGAAATGTTTCTATAGCTTTTCAGCAATGGTAGTATATATGAAATATATATATATAATTTTGAATGGTTCCAAAAAAATGTCATGCCTTATTAAGAACTTTTAAAAGAGTGCAAGAGTTTCATAATTTATTTTTTGAAAATTGCCACTTATTATAGCAGTAGGGGACGTCTTTAAAGATGATGAAACATCCACACAGCATATTATGCTGGAAACTGGATATATTACATTTCAATATATTACTAGGGGCGTCTCTAGGAAATAAGTGACATATGTATGGGGAAAAGTATGTAAAGCACACACCATTTAGCTAAAATGGGGGCATGTAAAAGTAAATATACATATTTGCTTATATTTTTTTTAAAAAAATCAAAGGAAAATATAACACTTAAAAAATGATTACTTAGCCCAGCTTGTGTAGCTCAGTGGTTGAGCATCAACCTATGAACCAGGAGGTCATGGTTCAATTCTAAGTCAGGGCACGTGCCAGGGTTGCAGGCTTGATCCCCAGTAGGGGGCGTGCAGGAGGCAGCCGATCAATGATTCTCATCTTTGATGTCTTTCTCTCTCCCTCTCACGTCCTCTCTCTGAAATCAATACAAACATAAAAAGTAAATTTAAAAAATGATTACTTAGAGGGGAAGTAGAGAAAAGGTGAAAGTCACAGGGATAGAAAGTCAACTTCTCTCAATAAACCTGTTTTGTTTTGTTTTACATCTGACATTACAACCACATACAGATTTCATACCATTTTAAAATATAATACAATTAAAAAGCAACTCCTAAAAACGGAAAGGAAAATAAAACACATGGACCTAACTAACTATGCATGGGGCTGGTTGCGTGACCTCACAGAGAAAGTCTCTCCAGGTGACTTTAAAGCCAGGACTCGTACTGAACATTCCAAGGGGGATATATTTTAAAGACAAAATGAAGCTGAAAAAAATCCTCAACTTTTTCTATGATATGTTTTTGATAATAGTATTAGCGCTGTTATTGAGCAATGATTGGATATTTGGTATGAAAGAATGATTAGCTTTTTTGTTTGTTTGTTTAGATGTGATAATCTTACAAGTATGTTTGAAAAGAATCATTATCTTTTGGAGACACATGCTGAAATATTGACCAATGATGCTCAGGTTTGTTTATTTCAAGTAATCCAGGGGCTAGGGCAGTGTGTGAAGTACAGAGGAAGATGCCCATGAGTTGGTCCGGCCCGTGGGCTGTAGTTTGCCCACGGCTGGGCTAGGGCCATGAGTTGAGGTACAGAGGAAGAGGCCATGAGTTGGACATTCCTGGAGCTGGGGGATGAGCATGTAAGATTCATGCTCTTATTCCCTGTACTTTTGTATCAATTTGAAAATTTTCAAATTAAAATATGAAAAATGTCAATCAAGTAAGAGTTGAAAAATTCAAAACAAAAGCTCATGCATTGCTTTCTTTGGTAATATGGAAGACGATCTCTATAGAAATGCATTGCTGGTAAGCCCAACATAATTTCCAACTTCCTCAAAACCAAGTGCTTTTCTATAAGGAACTATCTCCACCAAGATTCATTCTTTGACTTCACTTCAAACCATAAGGGTATCGGGATCTAGCACAAGATCCTTTGGGGCATCATCAATTTTAAAAATTTAGGAAAAGGAAATTCGTTATTTTGGGGGGCATGGAAGAAAATTTAGCCCGAGCTTCTTAGTTAGCCTCATGTGAGAAAACGCAGAGAAGTAGAGAAGAACCAATTTCCAGCTCCTGGTGGCTGGTCCTGCTGACGAAGTCTCCACCGCTGCTACTCTGTGGAGAGAAGGGATGGTGTTGTGGCCACTGGAAGAGTCTTTCTACTCTTTCTAAGCTTCATTATTTGATTGTACAATGAGGCAATTGTGAAGCTTAAATTAAAAACACGCCACTTAGATAAGTGCTGAAGATGGTGGCTGGAAATCAACATGCCCCCAAAAACGTTATGAAAAACTACAGATTTTATGATTCCCTTTCCAAGAGAATAGTATCCACCGCATATGGTTGTCATTAGCTTCAAGTGGAAACACAGTGCGTGTAAAGTGGTTATTACTTGTGATTATGCCTATTGTCACTAGGTCACGGGATGAGGGGACCCCCATTCGGCAGATGGCTCATCTCATATAGGGTTTTCTGAAGGCCTGGGGCTCGGAGTTTGGTGGACTTCCAGAGGCCTAAGAGGGCTGACATCATCTCTGAAGGCTTGCTTCCTTAGGTGATAGCCTGGTGGACTTGTTGGCACTCACCGGCATGTTTATTGCGGTGGGCCTGTCCTTGATGGTCTGATTTTGGAAGAGGTGGCTGACCCTGGCTGCTTGGGTTGCAAGAGTGTATTCATTGAGGTGAGCTATTGAGGGGTTGAACAGGTTAAAATCTGGTTGTGATGACCACTTGTTGCCTAGGCTACAGAACAATACATCTTTTCCTAAGTTTGTGGGGAACATTTCGATTCTCAATGCTCGCTTTTCACACACCTACCAATTTTGCTGGAAGCTAACTCATCTAAAAGGAATAAGGTTTGTACCCCTGATGCTGAATATGATATTATAGGGGGTTCAGAATATGTCATCCCCAAATACAACAATTTGGCTTAGTGATCATTTTGAGTTAAAGGGACTTGAGAAACAGCCGGTGTGAGGACACTCTGAACCTCCTTCGTCCATAGGAGGACGAAGGTAGATCCCATATGAGTGGTACCCTCCCTGCAACCAGGAAGGTAGAAGGCATCCTTGTCACCAGAGACAGGTAATTTAGGGGAGAGGGCTCTTTATACAAACCTTGCTAATCTTCCCCATTTTACTACACTTAGTCTCCAACTCTGTCTTGTCGATTCTTCACGTGTTTATTGTTTCTTTGTCTAATAGATATGAAAACTTTCTACTCTGGTCACTTTTTTTTTATTCTCATAGCTTTGTGGGACTCCCACATGTACATACATAACTAAATTTGTTTTTCTTTGGTCAAATTTGTTTTTCTTTTGTCTTTTTATTACAGGTGGGGTCTCAGGCAAGAACCTAGAAGGGCAGAGGGAAAATGATTTTTCCTCTTTTATGATATCTTATTAAATTAATCAACTTTATGAAGTAGGTCCTATTAGCCTCCTTTAAGGAGACAAATCCGAGGCACAGGGAAGTTTAGTGTTTTGCCCAATATCAGATAGCCAGACAACGATAGTAAACAAGAAAGTGGATTTGAATCCATATCTGTGTGACTACAAAGCCTAGACTTTTAATCCCTATGCAGGTTCTGATTGCTGCCTGCTTTGTTAAAGCAAATGCTAAATATGTTACAATTTAAAGTAAAGGGGGAAACACAAGTTAGTTATTCATTTACCCATTTAACACATCTATTGAGCCCCTGTTATCTGCTAGGCCAGGGGTGGGCAAACTTTTTGACTCGAGAGCCACAATGGGTTCTTAAACTGGACCGGAGGGCCGGAACAAAAGCATGGATGGAGTGTTTGTGTGAACTAATATAAATTCAAAGTAAACATCATTACATAAAAGGGTACGGTCTTTTTTTTTTTTTTTTAGTTTTATTCATTTCAAATGGGCTGGATCTGGCCCGCGGGCCGTAGTTTGCCCATGGCTGTGCTAGGCACTGTTCTTAATGCTTCTGAAGATACAGAGATAAAGACAAAGCCAATACCTTCTTAGGACTTCCATTTTAGTGAGGAAGTCATTAACAAATAAGTATAAAATATACATAGTCATAAACAAATAAGTATAAAAAATATTAATGTCAGATAACAATGAGTTATGGAAGTACTGTGCTAACACTTGCTGGTTTGAAGAACTAACAATCTGAGGAGACAAAGCATGAATATACAAAATGTTAAATAGCCAAAAGTGGAAGGCAATCAAAATAAAATAAGAATGGAAACAAGGCACCAAAGATTAATTTCGATTAGTATTATAGAAAACAAATGATGCGAATTTAGAAGAAGGGAAGATTACTCTGGGGAAGTGTTTGGGAGGAAACTGAAGACTAGATAGGATTTGGCTGGTTGGAGGGAAGGAGGTGTTCTGGGACAGTTAATTACCTCCCCGAGACAACTGCAAGTTCATTCTTTTTTCTAATAGTTGCTAAACATGACAGATTTAAAGAGTGTAAGTTTGGCCCTCCTGGCTCTTCACACTAAATCTGAAGCCCCATTCGATTTCATCAGCCTGACCTCAAAAGCATCAGCAAGGGTTGGATGTGCATGCATCAACTTCTGGACTTCAACAGATGGATATGCTTTTTTCAGGAAGAAAAAAAAAAAAGCAAACAAAACACTACATTTACCATGCCCTGTAGAGTATGAAAATCTAGCTGACATTCTCATTTATTCATCATCCGCCTCCTTTAATATGTCATCCATCATTTGCTCCCATGTCCCTTAAGAGCTTGTGAAAAGCTAGAGTGTAAATGACTGAGCAGTCAAATGCCAAATGCCTTCCATTATTTCTCTGATGGGAGTATGGGGAGTGGGGGAAGTCAAGGTCTGTTCACCGCAGTGGCTGATGGAACAGGAACTTGATTTTGAACTTGTGGAGCACTTCTCTGTCGGGTAGGGCTTTGCAACAATGGTTGAAGGTGGGGCACAGCTCTGGGGCACCCAGGGATTGCTGTATTTTGAAACCAGGCGCTGCACACGAAC